GTTGCCTAAAATATTTTTTTTTCCAGCAAGAACTCATCTGTGTGGTCTATTAATAAACTTTCCAGTATCTTCCCAACTATAGAAGTTAAACTAATAGGTCTATAATTTCTTGGTAAAGATTTTGACCCCTTTTTAAATATTGGCACCACATCGGCCTTCCGCCAATCCAGTGGTACTATGCCAGTCATTAAAGAGTCCATAAAAATTAGAAACAATTGCTTTAAATGCCAGAGCTCAATTCTTTAAGGCCCTGTGGGTGTATGCCATCCGGTCCTGGTGCTTTATTCACCTTTATTCTGTCTAAATATTTCTGGATCATATCAATTGTGAGCCAATGTGGATCATCTGGGACTGTGTTGCAGTGTTGCATAAGTAATTGACAGTCAAAGTGTGAGAGCATTGGCCTGGGCAGGAAGGGGATGTAAGTGTCCAGTATTGAGGTGATTGACAATGATGGTAGCCCCCCCAATTTATAACTAGCTTTTAGTAGATTATAGTAGACTAAAGCCTATGTCAGGTTTACTCTAAGTAAGCCAATGGTTTGCAGCTGTTACCACAGCAGACTGCTGTTTTTTGGGTCTCAGCAGCAGAGGACACTGATGCATGACATTCTTCAATCGATCATGATGTTACATTGTACCATGTTGGATGTGGATCTTGGGCTAACTTTCAGCAGCTCTGAGAGTGGACTTAAGGAGCTTTCACGGTACACAGGGTCCAAGAGGCCATCCATTTTTCCTGTTTGATGTGCTTCTCTTTCTAGAATGAGCACTTTATAAAAAAAATTGTGGTAGGGAGACATTTTGCACAAGAATGCTCCCTATATTGATTGCAATGTTTTCAAGTTCAGTTACTCTCAGTGTTCTTACTTCTGCAACTACAGGATCTTACTGCTGTAAGCAGGCTGGAAAAGAATGCCCAGCGGATATAAGCAGATAGATATTATTATTATTATTATACAGTATTTATATAGAGCTAAAAAGGTTTGCTCAGCGCTGTACATTATAGTGCGGGGCAGAACATGAGACAATACAGTAACAAAACAATACACGAGGGGTTCAAGGGCCCTGCTCTTTCGAGCTTGCAATCTAGGAGATGTAAAGAAGGGGCCTCATCAGAATTATCCTATGGGAGACTCTGTAATAGAAAAGCTTGTTTTCATGCTAGGAGGGATGAATAAGGGAGTGACACGCAAGGCATTGTAAAAATGAATACAATGTGTGGGCTTCAGCCTAAATGAAAAACAACTGACTGGCAGAAAAGTCACAACTCCCATGGCCAGAGGAAATCTGCATAGCATAACAATAGTAAGCTCAAAGCAGAGTGCTGCAATTTTTCAACTTGAAGCAATAGGAGTTATTTTTAGGCAATTTAAAATAATTTGGCAGTTTCTGTGAAATGTAAAAAAAATATGAACTTCATGGGCTGATGTGTGATCATATTCTACAGTCTTTTCTTTTGGGTTTTCTAATAATCCTGTGGACATTGCTGAGTTGTCTACAGCCAGAGGCAAAACGTGTGTGCAGGATGTCATTACTTTCCTGTCTCACTTCAGGCTCTACTTGCTGTAATAATTATTTGCCCAGGTGAAGCTTTTATCATTGTCATCAGGGCCATCTTTAAGGGGGGGGGCAAAAGGGGCAGCTGCCCTGGGCCCAGTCACTGTTGTGGGGCCCAATGCAGCTGTCCTATATACTTGCAGACTGTACTGGTTTACATTCTCTTGTCCCTTGAAGTCCTGATATCTCAGTGTGAAGTGCTGTCACTTATGCTGGCCAGCTCTGTCCTGTTGCCATGTACAGATGACTCAGGTGTGCAGACTCAGTCAGCATTCACATGTAAATAATGGCTGCAATGTGGCATTCATATATAAATAGTGTCAGCAATGTGACATTCTTATGTATATAGCAATGGAATTCATATCATTCATATGTATATTATGCCCCCCCTTCCCCCTGGAGGTTTCAGCCACCAACACCTCTGCTGGTGGTCAGTGTAAATTCCCCCTTTCGTTGGTGGCCAGTGTAGAAATGTATTGGTTGTTGGTGTAAAATCCCCATTACATTGGTTGTCAGTGTAAATTCTTCATTACTTTGATGTTCAGTGCAAATTCTTAATTACATTAGTGGTCAGTGCAAACTCTTCATTACAATGGTGGCCAATGTAAATTTCCCTTTACATTGGTGGTAAGTGCAGAATTGCCCTTACACTGGTGGTCAGTGTACATCCCCCTTACATTGGTCATCAGTTTGAATCCCCCCTAACATTGGTGGTCGGTGTAGAAATGTCATCTCCCATCCCCATACAGCACTGCCACTGTTCCCATCCACCCCAAGCAATGCCATTGATCCAATCCCCCCATCAGCATTGTCACTCATCCCATCCCCCCAGCACTGCCACTTATTCCATCCTCCCCACCACCGCCACTGATCCCATCCCCCCACCACTGCCACTGATCCCATCAACCCTCCCCCTAGTACTGCCACTGATCACACCCTCCCCTTCAGCACTGCTATTGATCCCAGGAGTTTTCTGTCTATTGGGGGATCCCCTAACCTCAGTCCATGGTGTGCAGGCAGTGAGGAGATGATGTGCTGTAACTTTCTGCAACCAATCAGTGAGATGTAATTAAGTGCTATAACCTCTAGAAACCAATCAGTGAGCAGTAATAATGTGCAGTAACCTCTAGCAACCAATCAGCAAGCATAAATCATTAACTGTGACCTCTAGCAACCAATCAGTGAACAGTGACCACTACGTTTGAGTTTGCCACATTTCAAGCAAGATTTGCCTAATCTCATCAAACCAAACCCAGGCAAATTTGCTTATCCATGGAAGTGAGAGGGGAAGGGGTTCCATATTTCTATGTCACAGTAGTAATATCTACTCCATGTAAAGCATCAATATGTCTTCCACATCTTGGTGGGGACATAGTAAATGGTACCAAGCACCTGTCCTTGGTGTCCTTTTCTTCATGTCATTGTGCGCAAACAGAGGACTATGGGTGACTGTTAGTATTAATAACAGCTGCAGAGGGTACTCCGGTTTCCTCCCGCACTCCAAAGACATGCTGGTAGGTTAAGTGGATCCTGTCTAAATTGGCTCATGTATGTATGAATGTAAGTTAGGGACCTTAGATTGTACACCCCCTGAGGATTAGGGACTGATGTGAATGTACAATATATATGTAAAGTGCTGTGTAAACTGACGGCGCTATATAAGTACCTGAAATAAATAATAAGAAGACTATGAGAGAGCCCCTATCAGTTTTTGATGTTATTGACTGATTCAGTATAAATCTTAAATTTTGCGAAATGAAGAAAAGTCACCTCAGTAAAAGGTAAATGTTTTTCACCACTATGGATTTTTGTCTTCCAGTGGTACTAAGTACCCATCCTTGGTAAGTGTAGGGTTGACATGAAAGGTGCATAGCAAGGCTGTGACCCTGGAATCAGGAGTTGTTCTCTGTTTTACTGTTATAGATGTGTAGATTACTCTCCACATGAAATGTACTGTTACACTATTGTAGTAATCTCCCTTTCCTCCATTGCACATTTAACCTGCAAGCCAATGAGATCCTTATGCAAATAAAAAAGTGTTTTTCTACTAAAACAATGGTAGACACTTGGAACATTTTAGAATGGGAGAATCAACAAACAGAATTTACTGTAAGTCTGGGATAAGCCAAAATCTATGTTACGTCAAAGCTTATGAAAGACCTGCCTGTATACGTCAACAGCGTATGCCAAATATTAAATAGGATGGGCAGTCTGGGGATATATCGGTCTTTGTCAAATATCATCTAACACATTTTATGTTAGAACTCACATCTGTTGATTGCCATAAAATATGACTCCTTATTATAATGAACTTGGTAAAGTTACAGCAAAACAACCCAGTGAGCTCTGCTGGTCCCTCTTTGGTTTCAGACATTACATGTGTTGATTGCTATGAATTTCCTTCAAAATAAACTTGGTAGACAGAGTGAAATGAACCCAGTGAATTTTTCCGTTCACTGTGTTTGGAAATGCCTTCATCGTGCTTTGACTGCGAGAATTGCAAAACTCTGCATCCTGCAGATGTACAGCTGTACTGAGACATTAACCCTTCTGTATACAGCCCAATAAAGAGGACAGATAGTACTTTAGCTCTTTGTAAGGGAATGTGCTGTCAACCTCCTCGGAGTTGAGAAGGAATTATGTAAAGATATTTTTAGCCACCACAATTTGAATATATTGTATAGCAACACCAGGCAACTAAGTGGCTGTCTACTAGACACTGTTAAGAGCTACTAACTGAAGTGCTGCAAAAAATCCCTTATGGATGTAGTATATTAGGGGACGTTCTTTTACCTACCGAAGCCTTTCTCAACCTTTTGAACATGGAGGAACCCTTGAAATACTTTTCTGGTCATGGGGAACCCCTGCTAATATTTACTATATCTCCAGCTAATAGTGCATTAGTGTGATGGTCAGTAAGAATACTCCTTACATTGGTAGTCAATAGGCAGACTTCCCTCTTACAGATAGCTAAAAATATCAAAGTTATCGGTGGTTTCTTAGAGGCAGAAATTGCTCCTTGCAACCTCAGGAGGACCCTAGGGTTCTATGGAACCCTGTTTGAAAAGGTCAAGCTGAAAACCACTTTGTGACCAACAAAAGCATCATAAAAATACACATTTCATAAAAAATTCTATTTCTTCCAAATATATAGAAACAGCACAGAAAAGTCCCTCTGCATAAGTAAGTTGGTACAGGCACATCACATGCTAAATGAATAACTTCTATACCATATGGTATATGATATATTACAAAAGTGGATACAGTGCCAGGATTGATCACTTCAAAACAAAACAAGGAAGCAAAAAATAAAAAAAATATAATATATATATATATATATATATATATATTTATATATATATAAAATATTTATTTATTTATTTGCTATAGATAACTGAATTATAATAATTAAATATAATCTCAAACGTAAGAAATACTTACCCTATGTGTTTTTTCCTCATCTCAATAGTTTTCTCTTTGGTGTATGGCTCACACACATGTCTGCTGCTGTCAGCCTTCGCTTGGCACACAAGTTCAGATCAGCTGGCTTCTCTGGCTGTGAGGTCTGAGTGCTCCTCTAGGCTTATTCTCTTACTCTATTTATAAGCCTGCTGTGTTTCCTAAGGACACTGCCTCCTACACTCCCCTTTCACGCCTCTGACTGACATTAACCCTTCCAATGAATGACAAGGGAGCAAATAGTTAACTTCTAACCTTTAGGGCATTTCTTTACAGAAAACTGGCAAATATTTCCTGACGAGTTTAAGAACATAATAAAAACTTCTCCTGCTCAACAACTATACATGTATCTTCATGTCAGCACTGTCTTCATGGTTAAACTGAAACTTAGGAGGTTAACATTATTTGTTAACGGTCAAACTTTGGAATATTGTGTGTTTTTGCTGAATTGTTCTGCACTCCTGTGACTAGACTTCACTCCGATAACAAGAAAGTAACTCATTGTTCTGGGTTATGTGCTTGTACTTCAATGTGAAGTATTTATTAATGGATGAGAGTGAGGACATGCAGTTTTCAATGATCTCACGCTTTAAATTACACTGCAATGTAGCCACCCTAGGGTCCATACACACTAGGGGCAGAAAAGATATGAGTTGATGGGCATTGCTTTTATAAACATTTTTTTCCAAAACATTCCCCTCTGCTCATTTTTCAATGTACACTTGAAAACGTTAAATGCTCTTAAACACTGCATTTATGGGTGTTTATGAGCATTTAGTATTTTTTTCTGCCTGAAAGCTCCTCTCAAAAATGTGATTCTGAAGGGGTTTTTTTCGGCTTTTAACCTCTCCTCTGAAAAATATGACTGTAAACTCCCTAATGTGCATGGACACATAGGCTAACGTACAGCTACTTCTAGAGGCGCAAGAAAAAAACACAAAATGAGTGTATAAGCAGTATTTTTGTTGTCCAGTGTGCATGGACACTTAGGGACCCTTTTTGGTGAATGAGTAGGGGTACAAATTACCCCATACTCATTCAAATGGGGGGGCAGGATCTGGGGGGGCCCTTGTTAAAGGGGGCTTACAGATTCCGAGAAGCCCCCCCACCCGCAGACCCCATCAATATGTGGACAATGTGCTTTGGGGGGAAGCTCCCCTGCCCCAAAGCATACCCAATGTTGAGGTATGTGGCATTTTATGGTTGGGGGGGGTGTTTACTCCCCCCCCTGGCCTGCCAGGCTGAATGTTCAAATAATGGTCTGGTTTGGATGGGAGACCCCATTCCATTTTTTGTTTTAATTGTGACATGGGGTTCCCCATAAAATCCATACTAGACCCAAAGAGCCTGTTAAGGGTTGGGGGGGATCACCATGCTCTTGTTCCTCAAATTTTAATTGCTGGCAATTGTTTTGTTTACATTTAGCTGTCAGCAGGAAATCCCACTGACAGCTGATGGGTCATTGTTTGTTAAGGATGCATCGGCCGGCTTGCCAGTCCGCTCCTAAACTAAAGCTAAACTGCTAAATGGTGGCAAAACGGTGGTACACAACAGGAAAAAATGCCATAAAAAATGCTGATATTGAGCATTTTTTTTATGCAGCATTTTTGCCTAGTGTGCATGGAGCCTTAAAAATGCAAAACAACTGTAAATTTCATATCAAATACTTTCTGCAATTCTCCTTTCCTGATGGACTCCATGGCAGCACACGTATTGGGTTTAGCCCTACCTCCTCCATAATTAGCTGATTCATGACATTGGGAGAGTACTCCTGCTGCCATGAAGTCCATCAGGAAAGGAAAATTATGGTAAGTATTTGATAAGAAATTTTCTGTTTTCCTGACAGACTCCATGGCAGCAAATGTATGAGAAATAGCTAATGATACATTCATGGGCAGGCAGTTGCTGAACAAAAGTTGTAATTTGTACCGTCAACAGACAGGACTCACAAACAAAATTAACAGAGGATAAAGAAGTGGGCTCTACACAATAATGAGCCATAAAGGAGTTGATCAAGGACCACTGGGCCACTCTACAAATCATCTCAGGGGCAACCTTCTGCAAAGCCACCCGTGACTGGGACACATTCCTGGTTGAGTGTCTGGTCACCGACTTTAGAGGTGCCAAGCCCTTAGCTCTGTAGACCATCTGGATAGTCTGAACTATCCATGCTGCAGTTGACCTGGATGAGGCACAATCTACCTTGTTCTTCCCATGAAAGAGAACGAACAGATGATCAGACAGTTGGAACGGAGTTGTGGCTTGCAGATACAGCTATAGAGTTTCTCCCACATCCAGCGGGTATATGTTGGTACTTCCAGGAGTTCTAAATGTTGTAAGAACAGTCTCCTGGTTCTCATGAAAGACTGATGTTACCTTGGGATTTGAGTCAAGCATATGTATGAGTATCACCAGATCAGGGAAGAACATTAAGAATGTTTTTTTATATCTGAGAGTTCCAATTTCAGAGATTGTGGAAAGCTGTTTGATTTTGGTCGGCCCTGTATGTTCCATATCAGCTGCGGAGAGAAAATTAAGCCCAAGAGGAAGGTTCCACTTAGGGAATCTTAGCCTCACCACGCCTCTGAAGAACTGTCAGACAAGAGAGTTTCTGGTCCATGACACCCCAATGAAAGCTGACATGGCTGACACCTGTACTCTAAGGGAGCTGACTGGAGCTAAGTCTAAGCCAGTTTGCAGGAATCTCAGGATATCCTGAACTCACGGTTTACTGTATTATCCACCATTAGCTAACACATATTCTGAAAATGTTGACCAGATTCTCCCATAGACCTTGTTGGTACTCATTCTCCTGGCATTCATCAGAGTAGTGATGACTTCAGAAGGACAGCCCAGGGCCTCCAGTCTCCCCCTCTCAAGAAAAAGACTATCAGATGAAACTAAGCTGGGCAAGGATGCAGGTTTGCTCCTTGCGATAGAAGGTCTGGCCTGAGAGGTAGAAGGACTAGATCTCAAAAGCTGAGCTGCGCCAGCAAGAGGAACCACAGCCTGTTTGACCAATATGGGAGTTAGGAATGGACGCACCATTAGTGGTGGGACTCATCTGCTGTGTGGGCTTCAGTACCAGGGCTGGCCAGCGGGTGCTCTCAGCAACCAGAAGCTTACTCCTGCAATCAGCCATCACCTGAGGCTGATTGCAGGAGGTGTATTTAAGGAATGGCCAGACCTGCAGTCAGGGCCTTGGTGTATGTTTCCCAAGAGCCCCTGTACCTGCATCCTGTCTGTTTCCTGCCTGATCCTGACTCTGCTTTGATCCTGACTCTGAATTAACTCCGCCTGTCTTGACCTCGGCTATTTCTGACCACTCTTCCGCTCGCTCCTGGTACCCTGTTTGCCCATTTGCTATCAACCCGGCCTGCCCAACTACGTTTGATTTTGGAAATATGGTTATCTGTTGGAGTTTGGGTTGTTTGCACTGTGTTATGTTTACCTTGCACTGCGTTTTTGTTGTTTAGTCTTAATAAATTGTCTTATTTACACTATACCTGAAGCCTGCGTTTCCCTGCGTCAGTCCACACACCTCTGGTCATACCCGGAGCGCTGACAATGGGATTACCGCCACTATTTCCACCTCTTCTGCCCTAAGTCTTTGTAGAAACCTGAGAATGACCGAAACCTGAAGGAAATTCATAAGCCTTGCGAAACCTTCACTGATCTCTCAGGACATCTGGCCCGAAGGCCTGGGGATAATGATTCCTCATGTAATACTCCTCTAGTTTGTTGTTGCATGGAGAGGCAAACAGGTTCACTTTGGGGTTGATTCCAAGGGTCAGACGCTAATTAAAAACTTCCGCATGGTATTGACTAATTGAACTCTGGATATAAAACCCTCTTGAGAGTTCTGAACTCCAGGAACATACACCGCTGATAATTTGGATAGGTTTTTCTGAGCCCAGGACACGATCGGTTCTACTTCCCATAAAAAGGAAAGGTCCTGTCCTCTCTCCTTATGGAAACTGCCATGGTATTGTCTAGCCTTAAGAGCACTGATGTTCCCTCCGTCAGATGATGGAAGACTTGAAGAGCACAGAGTGCTACTCAAAGCTCCACGACATTCAACATGATCCTGTGAGAGGGAAAACTCCATCTGCCCTGAGCTACTTCTGCACTACAGCAATGGGCACCCCATTCTGTGTTGCTGGTGTCCATTGTGATTATGACCCAGGTAATGGGGGAATTGATGACAGTTGAGTAGATTTTTTTATTGTTCTACCAAAGAAGACTCTCCCTCATAGTCGAGGTCATGTAAATAACATGGTCCTTGCTCTCTAGATTCCACTGTTGAAGAATACTTTACCATGGGTGCTGTGGCAATGATATTTAGGCACTGAAGGGCTTGAAGATGTGAAGAGGGCAGGGCCAGTTGTATCTTGCTCCAGATCACTGGAATCTTCTCTAAGGGCAGAGAAATGGTACCCCTGACTGTATTGAAAAGAACCCCGAGAAACACCAGATACTGCATGAGACTGAACTCGAGAAGTGTTGAGATGACTTGGGCTCTGTGTTCCAGTAGCTGCTCTCTGTCTCGGAACAGCAGAAGTAGGTTGTCCAGATAGTGGTGCAGGTGCATGCCTCTCATTCTGATCAGGGACACGACAGCCAATAAGAGTTTTAAAAACACTCAAGGCGATGTCGAAAGCCCAAAAGGGAGACATGTGAAATGGAGATGACCTACAGGAACCCGAAGGAAAATCTGCAAATCTTCTGCTATGGGCACATGGAAGTAAGCAGCCTCTAGGTCTATGGACAGGAGCCAGTCGCCTGGCTGAACTGTTTGTTGAATTGTGAACAGTCTCTCCATTTTAAATTTTTCCTTTCTGATGAACAAGTTCATATGAGTAAGGTCTATGACAGGTCTCCAGGAACATGAAGAGAGGTGAGTACATGTCCTGAAACTTCTCGCACTCCAGAACTGGCACAATAGCACCCTGAGCTATCAGAAAGTCTACGTAGGATAGGAGAATTTGTTTCCCTTCCTTGGAGTGTGGTAGGGCTGTGGGAATGAACCTGAAAAGA